CCAAACAGCACATGAAGGCCAGGCTGCTCGTCGCCTCCTGTCCTTCATTCTAAAAACTGTCCTGAGCTTGTCAACCTATGAACAGGTAGAATAAAGGTACATTCAGGTAAACGGAGAAGGTTGATAACCAGAAGTGGATCTTCTAATCTCCAGGTTAAATGACATAATGGAAGGACAAAGGAGTGGGGATAAATCCCACTCCAGTCATGTGGGAGAGTGCAAAGAGACAAAACAACAGACACGATCAACATCAGGCACTTCTATCATCATCAGTGCAACAAAAGACAGCATGCAGACCACCAGGACCCTCTGCAGGAGAAATCACCTCCTGTGTCCACACAGAGAGAGAGGCCAGCAGAATCTGATCACAGCATCGGCTTTGTTTCATTTGGTGTTTGTTTTATTTCTTCAGATATGTTATCTGCTGTCAGTGAAGGCCCGTGTAAACGAAGGTGATGTGAAGTCATTGGATCTGCATCTACAACTGAATCAAATCGTGTTTCTGATTCAAGATGGCCGCCACAGCGAGCACAGAAACATCTGAACTCAGTTGAACAAGTTTTGAGATGAAATATGTTCTGGTAGTATGTGAGAGTTTCCCTCAGGAAATCTCTGGTTAAAACTTCAGCATCATCGAGAACCTTTGGATGGATTTTAATGAAACAGTAAGTAACCAGTGGAAGTACATCGTCTAGAGAAAAGATGATCTTTTGCCACAAACTCAGCTGTTTCAACCCATTCTCACTTCCAACTCGTCACATATTGACGCTTTTCCAAGGTTCCCTCTGCGTCCGATTTTGACGTGTCGGGTAGCCCCCTCACGTCCGATTTTGACGAGGTGGGGCGGAATCCGTTGTCATAATTTCAGAAATTGTAGAAAATGCATCAAAACTACCGTCCCAAAGCCTAAAATTACCTTTATTCACTCTAGAAATCCTGTCCCTAACCCTAGGACCTAAAATTAACCATGAACCCCAACTCAAAAGACCCCTATATTTTGCATCCCAATGCATCAAACCTGGACACAGGGAACATGGAAATGCCTGGTGAGTCAATAACTGACGGGTGTACCCGACGCGTCAAAATAAGACGCAGAGGGAACCTCGGAAAAGTGTCGATACGTGACGAGTCGGGAGTGAGAATGTGTTCGTTTGGCAGCTCTTCCACCTGATCCATCTGATATTGGAGTAAAATTTGAGCTGGCAGTAACAGAGTGAGTCACAACACACTGAGTAACTTCTTGTTATATCTTTATGAACATTTGGTTGGATTTGAACAAAACTTTCATTATACCTCTGCTACTAATTGGACTGAACCAGATTCAAGGTTGAGTCCAGATCTTGCTGCCACAGCCAACCACCCTCATGAAACACAACAGTGTCTGTCAGTTTTACAGATATGGAGTTGTTTTGAAGGAGTAACTCAGCACGTCCTCTGAGCAGTGGCCGAGCCAGACATTTTTCCCAGGGGTGGCCAGACTGGGACCACTACTCACA